ACCCACCCCCAAACCACTAAAGTTGCACATAATGGAGGGGGACAAACTATGCTATACAGTACAATCTTAAACATATATATCTAAATGGTGTATAGGGTATGAATTCCATATCTGCAAAATGCTATGCTATCTACAATATACTGCACTGTTAACATACCTATACAGTACTTGTTACAATTATATTTACATTTATGTAAACATAGCACAATTATGTAGAACTGTGTGAATAATTATATTTAGCAACAAACCTTACAGACTGCAGTCACAGGATATAATACTTAAGATGCATATCCATAACGATACCTGCTTCTTCTTTTAGCTTTAGCAGTGGCAAGCACTTTGAGATCACTTAAGTATGTTTAAAAAACTCAGTTCAGACTTTGATCAACTTCAATCATAGATCTTCACAGATCTCAAAGACATAGTTCACAGAATCATTTAAGCAAGTAAGTAAACAGAGTTGGAAATGTACTGAGAAATGTTAAGTGTATGCAAACATCTGGTCACAGATGTCTACACTACATTTAATTATAATGAACACAGATCTGATAGTTTCATAGTGGAACTGTGGAACAGTGTAATGAAAGAGCTGTACTGAAAGGAGAATAATTTTTTCTCCAGGATTATATAATACAGCTCTATTTTTGTATAATACACAAAAATAAAATGCCCCAGGTTAAGCAAGCAATGTTTGTTGTGATCTTTTACTGAACCAAAAGTGCTTTGGTTTCAAACTATGAAATAAAATTCCCCTGTTTTTTAAAAAAAGTAAAGCAAGTTCCTTACCAATGACTTGATATACGTTTGAACTGAGAGATTATGTCGACAAAGATTTGCCATAAGTCCTAGGCATGGTATAGTTAACTCATCTTCAGTAGACTGACTAAAGATTTTAAAAAGTAATTAAACACATACACATGTCAATATTTATTTACTTATATACTGATTTTAGAAGTTAATCATTATTTCCTCAGAAAAATATTCACTTTGCTATAAATGTAGAACATTACATTGAATTTAGTATATACATAGATTTGTACCTGCTGAGCTTTGTGTAGCTAAATGTAAATGGCAGTGATTTAAGGCAATATTGAAGAAAAATACAAAATTCAACATTTCAAAGTACTCAAACTATTAACTTTATTAGTTAATAAAAAAGGGAAAAAAATAAGGTGACATATTTGGCTGAGGTGACAGCTGGCTGAGGAGGAAAGAGCTTACTTAGAGTTCTATGGTCACCAATGGTGAAGTGCTAAAACAGTACGAAGTTGTGTTTGTGAATGCTGGCTACGTTCCCACAAATACCACCTCACTGTGAAATATATTTGGATACATGGAATACTAGCAGGCCTATTCTTCTATAATGTCTAGGGCAGACCACTTCTACAATAACTATGGATCACTTATGTGCTAACTTCAAGGACAGCTGGCTGCTACTGTATGTGCAAGCTGTTTTGGTTATCCCATAGCACCAAATAATGCTATGATGTAGCAGCTGACCAAACAAGAAGAGAGCCATTCCCGGGGTACAGCCTCATAACCTGCAGTGACTCAAATCCTTCTTGGAGTTTACCCCAAATGTTAAGTCCAGTAGAACCTTTCTAATAGGCAATCCCCATGATCAAATATCTAGGGGGACATATGGTGAAGTTCCTGTATTAAGATTCCCCACCAAGCCTAGCATAAAATAATGCTTGAAACCCTTATGCCAGAAATGGGAAACAATTTTAGCAATCAATTACTACTCTAAAGCTTAAGGCAGGTTTTGTATGTTCAAAATCTTCATAAGTGATAGACCACACTGATAGAAATCATGAAGAATGCTCACAAAGCAAAGTAGGCATTAACACGGAAGGATAAGGGATCCTCTCTTTCTTGCCACTAGTATAGCAGGAACATCTCCAACTACAAAGCCTAATTTAAACTTCTAGAAAACAGTCCAATAAATCCCCAAACTTAACCTTACAGTTAACACATATTTCCATGCATCTCAAGTTTGCATAGGATTACTACTTTAAAAATCAATACTACATAGGTTTACAGAAACATTCAGGAAGAACACATAAATATACCTACAACTGCAGACTTAGTTAACTACTGCATTTAAAAAACTTACATGTGAAGCATAAGGAAAGAAATTAAGTCTTCAATATTAGCACAGGCCTGGAATATTCTTGCATTGTAGGTCAATTTCTGCAGCAGCTGAATACTCTGTTAAATAAAAAGAAAACCAATGAAGTTATAGTTGTTTGCATTAGATTTATCTACATTTACTTTTCAGATGCATAACCAGATAATATATTATAGTATTGTGGTTTTAGAATTTAAATATTTTTGTTTCTACCATGGATATTTCATTTAAATGTTTGTAATTACTGTAAATCACTGGGAGTTTTGCCATTATGGAGGGTATAATAAAATGAATAGATTCAAAATGGTATTAAACTTATAACAGAAATACAGTGGTACCTTGGTTCACGAACTTAATTCATTCCACGATTCTGGTCGCGAACCAAATTGGTCGCA